AGATGTTTGAGGTTGGAAGGGACCTCTAGAGAYCATCCAGTCCAACCCTCTGCTCCAGCAGGGACACCCAGAGCACGGGGCACAGGGCKGCATCCAGGCGGGTTGGGAAGATCTCCAGAGAAGGAGACTCCACAGCCTCCCTGGGCAGCCTGTGCCAGGGCTCTGGCACCCTCACAGGAAAGAAGTTCTTCCTCACATGGGCATGAAACTTCCTGTATTTCAGTTTGTACCCATTGCCCCTTGTCCTGTCATTGGCCAATTCTGAGAAGAGATAATTGCATTTTTTTCATTGGAAACCTGTAATTAAACTGATTAGGGGAGAAATCTAGGTAAGGTTCTTAAGGTCTGGCAATGACAGCATCGGACTCAGCGTTGTTCTGATATGAATCCTAGACATCAAAATTACATACACAAATCATACTAAACGATTCACAATGAATAAAACAGTAGCAAAGTATTTTAGAAAATACTAATGAAGTTAATTCAAACTGAAGGTGCTGAGTGCCGGTCATTCTCAAGAGGCACACAGTGTTCCAACTCAAGGGATTCCAAAGCTCTTCATACACACAAGGAGCAGCCATGAGAAATGCTGATGTGCAGGGAGCACAGAGCTGTGGCAGTCAGTTTTATGTAAGGTTATAGCAGCTGAAGCAATGGGAAACATTTTGCCAGAAATTAGGGCATACATCTTTTTATTTAAGAACTCATTTTTACAAACATCCTTGAAGAAAAAATGGGCCCTTATTTAAATATTAGCAGTAAGTCCAGCACTCGAATATATTGACTTAATAATATTGTGATTAGAATGTTGTGATTGCAGTCAGCAACATCACGATTATAAAAACACATTAATGAAAGGCAATTAATTAATGTTTCTTTTAAAAATGAATGTAGAATGCAATAAGTGGTGATCTAATCATAAGATTCCTGTACACTGAGCGACTGGATAGATTTACTGAATAAATATGTGCTCCTTAGCATTTACAATTACCTTCTCATCTAAAATAATCCTCTAGAATCATTCAAAAAGATTAAGATGGATGACTAATGTTAGGTAACTAGGTGAGGTTGACTCACTTTCAAGTGAAACCTGAAAACAAACTGTAGCTATGAAGAACACAAAAATATGAAAAAAGAATCAAGTAATAAGAATTCACAGATCAAATAAAGACCCCCAAATTATGCAAATGCCTTGCAGCTGACTGAAGAGAAAAACATTACCTAGGTGAACAGTAGCCCATTTTCTCTCCCAATTTACAAACCATAAGCACATTTGCTATCAACAAATGTCAATGACTTTCATCTTCTGTTTTTGTGAAAGATACTTGTGAATAGAGCCATTAAAATTACTCCTAATGTTTCGTGTTTTTTTTCCTCTTTTGCAGCTTATCCATTGCCTATATACTAGTTCTAAAAAGCTAAGCTATACATTAAGYCAGAAATTGTGACATAATAATTCAAGGTCTTTTGAAATCTTTGAGCAAGAAACTTCAAAGTTTCTTTTTTAGCCATCACCTTGACTTTACTCAATCCAGCAGTTTATAACAATTCTCAAAACTATAAAAATGTAGTTTTGAACAAGTGCCCTTTGAACACCTGCACCTATTCAAGTAAGGAAAAAAAAGGAAAAAAAAAGTAATCCTACACATKAGAAATATCTTGACTTTCAAAAGACAGGAAAGACAGGAACTTTAAATCCCAAGAGACTTTTTTCCTAATAAAACTGAGGTTTTCTAAATTACAGCACCCACTATAAGTGCCCTAAAATGCCCATTTTGTTCCCAGTAATTTTAGAAATCATTAGCCAGTTTTCACTGATAGAGCAGTGGATCCTAGAAAAGGAAATGATATTTCTTTAAAGTTTAAGGAAGTAAACAATCAAAGACAAGAAATGGCTCTTGTAGGTGTCCCCTGAGGCAAAACGCTCTCCTCTGAGTTCATCCTATATTAGACAGTAGAGTGTGATTTGAATACCCCATCTCATGAAACAAGTCAATTTGACTTTACCCTCTACTGGAAACTAGAAAACTTAATCACTACTAAAAAGCAATATGAAACCAGGTTGTGTTTCTTCCACTTTTCAGTTATCTTTTTTGAAAGGAGAAATGAGTAAGAGATTAGCAGTCAGCATGAGCACTTGGAAAATTAGCACATATTTAGTGTCATAATACATCACAGTATAGTAGAAGATCGAACCATTACAGAATTGTGCGCCTGATTCAGCACATTCATTTGAGTCAATATAGCTTCTAAAAACCTGCTAAAAGTCATAATCACACTACCACCAATTTAAAATGACCTGAAAACGTTTCCAGCTGGATACCAATTTTCTCTAGCACGAGTGTGACACACACCATGGTTTAACTCGAAATAGAAAGTCAGTAAATGCTTGTGCTGCCACGGGTAACCGAAACGTGCCTCCTCACACAGACTCCACAGCTCTAAAGGGCAAAGACAGCAACAAAAACTCTGTATTCATGTCCTACAGGGATCTACTTCAAGGCAGCAACAGCAGATTCTTTCTAAAATACAACACAAGCATTATCYCCTCCGAATTTGATTGACATTTGTAAACAGTTGTTTACAAAAACTCATCTTATAAACATCAGTGAGCAAAATGATAATAATTGCGCTCGACTAGAAAATGGGGTATTAGTTACACTGCCGATCACAAGAGTTGCCAGGAGCTTCACTCAAYCACCATTCAGGCCGGTCAACATTCCAGGTACTTCTGAGGCTTTCAAACGTGTTTGTTTATACACATTATGATACCAGTAGTAACCAGGATGAGTCACCCTGTTTTCAATAAAATAGAACTAGCTGCTACAATCACTTAAATCTGCAATTGGACAACACGGGTATTCCCTTCACAGGGGATACCTTCACTTTTCTCTTAGGGGGTTTTGCCAGTAGTAGGAAAGATTTTGTTCCCCAGAACCACATTGCTGTTCATAGTAACCTCGGGATTTGGCACCTTCTAAATTAAGGCATTTATTCCATTTCATCACGCCAGTTTGTTGCCCTGCATTTCATTTACTCAGATTAAGCACATTTGGAACGCGGAAAACAAAAAAAAAAAAAAAAAAAAAANNNNAAAAAAAAAAAAAAAAAAAAAAAAAAAAAGAAAGAAAAAAGCAGTCTTGATACCTGCACTATGGTTAAAAGGGAGTTTTAAAGCAGGAGACCTATATTCAAGAAAAAAAGCAAAGGAGGAGTCTTTCTTGCCCCTGAACTGAAATACAAAACCATTATGGTTTGAAACAAATCTTGTTTCAATCAGACCACAAAGAAATGCAAAATCTGAAGAACAATCTACTTTCCTGAATCCCCAAGAAACTGTACAAAGCACTTACAGTAAAACTCTCCATCACTCTAACTAAAGAGTTCAGCAATATAAAAAGTTACAGGATGACCAAGACCTGGGTGTTTCAGCCMTGGAGACTACCTGGTATTTTAATACATTTTCTGGGTTCCCTCCCAGCCGCCCGCTCTGTGAGGCTTGCTATTTAAAATCTTCAAAATGTTTTCCTGTGTTTCTAACTGCAGGGTATCCTCCCCACTCAGGACACACAGTAGGAATGCAAATACAACAAAAGCAAAAGGTAATTCCTACATGGTGTTCATTTTTAAAAATAAATACATTAAGAATGATAAAGTTGCTACAATAAATAATAACAGATAATAAAATCCAGGGAAATGTGCATACTCAAGTTACCATAGGCTAAATTTACTTTTTCAGACTGTCAGTTTACTAATGATATGTGGGAGCTGCATAGCACCAGGAAATCCAGGAGTGCATCCGAAGGAAACACTGRCTGCGCTTCCATTAGCCCTTCAGCTTGCTTTAAAGAGAGCCATTCTGAAGCCAATGTCCTGCCTGTCTCCACTTCGCACACTTCGCTTTGCATCGGGGAATCATTTCTGAATTTGCCAAGTAAATTCCTTTCTGAGAGTCAAGAACACCTAAAATATGTTTGAAACACTAAAAAACACTCAGCCCATAGCCCAACAAACGAGAATGAATCTGAAGTGAGCCCCCTGAAACGAGCAGTGTGGACATGAGGGCCTCTGACCCACTCTTCTGCCTCCAGAACCACCCTCGTTATTTTGCGTGACTAATGTGATCAGCTTTTCCCGGCATTCTTTGTGCCTATGCTGGGATAATGCTAATTCACCAGGAATACCTCTCCTGCAATTTAGGATTCAGCAGAAAAAAAAATAAAGGCTAAGAATAATTAATGTTCATGCTTAAGTTAACAGTATTTTGACAGATTACTGTCTGCAATTAAAAACACGTCTGAACAAGAAAATTCACATCAGCTACTTTCTTTGAATAAGTGACTAAGTGGCACTACTGCTTCATGCACTGACCTTTCCATTTTAGAGATGTCATTTAAACATAAATAAAGTCCAGAATTAAGGACCTGCAACGAACTTGCCCTAAAGAGCTTCGATTACGCCTGAACTACCACAGGCCTAAACCACCTCATAGTTTATCACAGTTAATAAAACAGTTCTGAATTCACAAAAGGTGTAGCCAAGGTGCTACAGAAAAAAACATTAGACTACTTAAATAGCAAAGCATCAGCTACAGTTTCCTTCTCCATATAAATACATAAATAAAACTGTACAGACACCACACTTTATATGTYGGTTATGAAAGACTGGGTAGATACAACAGTAACAAAAGCACATAGCAAGAAAAAGAGTTCGGACAGAAAAACTGCTCTCTAGTCACATTTTACAAAAAGTAAAAAAATATTAATTGAAAACATTGGAAAATATTGTTTTCATAATAATATTTGTGTGTCTTTACAGGACTGAAGAGCTAAATACTCACACTGTTACTGCACCAGCAAATTAAATTTCTAACTTATCATTTCTGTAATTTATTTATTTTATAGAACCAAAAAACCCAACCAGTCATTCATCCTTACTAAAACTCTGCTGCTATAAATATAATTAACCGTTCAGTACGGTAGGTATTTTAAGAYACTTACTGTTCTAAGAGTTGATCGTATTTCCCCAGAGCATCCTTTTCAGCAGTAACTGCTCTTTCTTTTTCAGCTACAGCATTATCTCTTGCTTCCCTCAAATTTCTGAAAGGAAAAAATAATCTGTCAAGTATCTGTTGGGAAAAAGTTAATTTTACTTCTAAGATTAGAGTACTATTGATTGATCTTGACTTTAACTCTACCTTCTTTAAACCTGTTTGAACAGTAGAGAGTCTGTCTGTCTGTCTCTCTCTCTACACACACACACACACACACACACACATATATATATACACACATACACGTGTATATATACCCATTGTAGAGGTATGTTCTCAAAACAAAGATCAAACCACTCATCTATTGGTAAAAATATGTGAAAAGGTCAGAAATATAAATTACTTTTCCAATAAGTTCCTCCTACAAACTTAAAAGAATCCAATACTTTTGCTTGGTACTTCACATACAAATAGGAGAATGATGTTCTGTGAGTAACTGAGGTGATTAAGAACTTTTTTGATAGAGCCAGAAGAGATTAGCTAGGCATAAACACGATATTTTGGCATACAACTGATTTGTCTAGTTAATCACCATATGTAGGTTATTGAATATCACTGCTGTCTTTTATTGATACCATTATTTTTGATCTGCATAGAGACATAAATTAACTCATAAATGTTTTACTGCAATCAGTATTTTTTTTTTCAAATTATTATTAAGAATCAGTTAGGACTTGTGAGTTATATTACTGCTATTTCACTTATACCAGCCAGAGAAGCCTCATGTGAATGAAGGGCAACATCTTTAACATTTRTGTTAAAAATGATACAGGCAACAGTCTGATAGTCTGCAGTCTGTCTGTAGCACAACAGGTTAATAAGCTAAAACTACCACTCAGGGCTCATCTGCTGCCTCTCCACTATCCAATAGAGCAGCAGAGTAAGAGGAGATTTGCAGAGCAAACAGTGGCTGTTGAGGACTTGGCACCCACTCTATAAGCACTTGAAAGAACTTGACAATGCTGGCTCTGATGTATTAGCTGCTCACTTACAGACAGCTTTCAATTTAGTTTCGTCTAAAAGAAATCGAGTGCAAATCCAGGCAGAAGCCGTGGTGCGAGCAAAGACAGGGCAAAAARGTGTGGAGAGCTTCACTACAAAACTACTTTTCTCATCTAAGCTGAAGCATTAGTGTAGACACAGCGAGCTCTGCTACTTCAGTTCCTCCCGTTGCTCATGTGGCTGTGCAGTGATTCCATGGGAGGGGGAAGGCAGATGGATTTTATTTTAACATGAACTTGCTGTGGACATATAGGTCAAGTTTTGAAGAAAAGATACAGAGGTAAAAGAAATGTTGTTAAGCCAAGTCAAATGCTACCTAGATCATTTGAGCCATATAGTAACCATGTATATTTTCTGGATAACTCGGTTAAGCAATACACATGCATCAGGGATTATTAGTTAATCAGACTCAACCTAGGAATTATATAATGGTTAAGCATCTAAGAGAAAGCACGTGGGCAGGCCAGGGCATTAATGTGGCAGAGGAGTGAAATGGCCTATTTTGAAGAGTAGAAGAAATGGTATAAAGGATGAACTGTATGAAAAATAGGGTCACAGTATGTTTGGAGAATAAAGTGCCTTGCTTAGCTGAAGAGCTTACCAACTGGAGTGCTGAAGAATAAAAGGCACAGCGAGCTGCACTCGGTCAAGAGGACAATGCAGGTACGTATCTAGTTACATATTTCACAGAATCCCAGAATGGTTGAATTTGGAAGGGACATCTAGAGATCATCTAGTCCAACCCCCCTGCTCAAGTAGGGAGACAGACATGAGTGATATTGTGCCAGATACCCACATGTTATGAAAAATACGCACCATTCTGACATTAAAAGGTAAAACCCAGCATATCTSACAGGTATACCTACAGGTCACCTGGATTAGCAGGTGTCTGGTAAGCCTACCAAACAAGCAAGTGTAAGCACCTAAAATGGGGCGGGATTACTGCCTATACATTTATGGGTGTGTATGGAAGGAAAAAAGTGGGCAAAAGGAAACGGGATGAGGAGCAGAAGTGCAAGGGCATCCACAGGAGTTCTTGAAGCAAACCCCTCACAATTGCCCCTCAGAACACTTGTGAAGCACGCAAACCAAATCCTATTCAGACTGACAGAAGCCAGAAGAGGTGCTCRAGAGACCTGGCATGCTCAGACTACTAAAGAGTGTTCAGCCCACTGGATTAGCTGTTATTTGGTCCTAAGGAAAATTTCATGCCGATATTCTGTGTGAATTCCCTCATGTTTGCTAATGGAAACATAGACAACGGTGACAGCCAAAGACGTGAAACTGACCTCTAATGAAATAAAACTGAATTTAAGTCCCACCTTTTTATTGGATTCCCCCCTAAACTGGTTAATCCATGGGTAAAATGTCACCAATTTAAGGGGAACGTCAGGCCTAGGAGGCTTGGTAAACAGATAGGGAGTAAGAAAATTCTTTTTGGTCATGTTACATCAGCTGTCTCATCATACCATGCTTTGAGCCTGAAGATGAAACCAAAATCTTATCTTTACTTTCATTCGCAGTCAACCAGTGTCTCACCACATCACACACTTTCACTGCAAACTGCTTTGGGGTTGCATGTGCGCCACGACTGAGGTGCACCTCAGACTGCAAAGCAGAATTTTTAGTACTTTCACCTTTTAGTACTTTCACCTTTTAGAGTTCTATAGCATATGCTGTTTTCCACAAAATATAAAGTCAAATCTACAGAATTTACATTTTAGAAATAATTATTTCAAAACAAGGAACAAAACTTCTTCAATGATATATAGACACTTTTCAGATTTCTACCAACTATCAAGTTAATCTCTATAATGCAACATAGTTTTGTATACAGAAGTGGTGTGTATGTGTGCACACACACATATTACACTTGCAAGGCTATAAAGTGACATATTTTTTTCAATTAGAACCTTTCAGCTGACTGAACCTTCAGCAGGAGGACAGCAGGAGTCACATTCTTCATTTTTCCTTCTTCAGAGTAATAACAAGGCTCCCTATTATRAGAGACACTGACGCCACAAATACCTTTTACTACAGTCATTTCCTTCTCCACACAAGTCACTTTCTAAAGATCGACAATGAGTTAATAATGAGTCATTAAGTGCTCCTCCCATTACAAAAGGGACACCTAATGACAAAGAAAAAAAAAAAAAAAAGCTTGAAAAGAATTACAGCACCAAGAGCCCAAGCCCTTCGGTACCTCTGGGCTTACAGGTAACACTGCACAATTCCACACAATTCAACAAGAACACACACCAAGTTTAATATGCAGTTCTTTGCAGGACTAGGATGAAGACTTGAAGAAGACTTTTATAATTATTGGACATGAAGAAGAATTTTATAATTATTTAGAGGACAATCAGTACTATTGTAAATTCTAATGCTGTAAGCAATCTTAACTAGATTTATTTTTAAAAGGTTTAAATCTTTTTGATTGGATTTTCTTCATTTTTCTGCTTTACCTTCTGATTCAACTCCTCCTTTTCTGGTCACCTGAAAGTTTCAGAACTATTGCCCATTCCCTAGGGGATGTAAACCAACATATTCTGTGTGAACTAACAAATGAGTCTTACTCCAGTCAGCTGAAAACCACTATTTTTTATCTAGAATATAAGTTTTAATAAATCATTCTTTTCACAGAAAGTGTCAAACATCAAGGATTATTTCAAGAGAAATATCATACTCTGGATCAATGTAATTTTGTATTAGTTTTCATAAAGTTTTTAGTTTTAGTTAAATTCCTACATTTAAGTTAAATTCCTACATTTTGATCATCTCTTCAAAAGACAGTCAACAAGTTTCTACCTAAAAATCAATCAATAAATAAAAAGGGATTATTTGGATATTTCTGCCCTAATTAGATTACTTCCTGCATTTTATCTACCTGTTTTCACGTTCATACATCTCCTTTGAGGTGCTTCGAAGTTGCTCAATCTCTTGGTTTGTTTTCAGTCTTATTTGTTCCAGTTCCTCCTGCAGTCTGTTTTCATACTCTATTTTATAATGGTCTCTGGAAATATGAATAAGAAAACAGGAATTTCTTATGAACACAATTGGCCAAAATACCAAAACTGCAATATTAAATATCCAGGTACTACATTTTACACTTCAGCTTGCACTCATTCACCCCTCAACTACTTAGAATACGTATTAGCTTATAACCAAGACTGAAAACTTAAGCATGAATAAGTTAAGATTTTCATGGTAAACTGTTTAGGGTTTATTTTATTAAAGTAATTTGCCACTGAATCATTGTGCAGCATTACACTTAATACACTTGCAAAAATTCTTTGTCAGCCTGTGCAGGAGCATTCATATTAATCGACCACTCAAAAAGAAAAAAAATGATACTGAGGATCCAAAGCTGTAAAGACCTGTGAAATCAAAAATGGTATCTGGATATCTATCCTGTCAATGTAACAAAATAATTTGCTTAAAATACCTATGTAAGTTTTTAAAACAAGTATCAGAAGATTCCTGACAAGATTTCTGCACCAAAAAAAAAAAAGTTACTTCTTGTTAATATTGACAAAGCTTTTAACTTTGAGTTTGATAACAAATGATCACATTAGGAAGTTACACATTTGGAAATAAAGGCATATGCTCAAAAGTAAAGTCTTCTAGTCCCCTTGGAGTCCAAAGTGTACAGTATCCCCATCTTCTATGACTTCCGTACTCCAAGTTAGCCAACATGTTTCACCTAACCCACAAGCCCTAAACTATCTAAATACGTTAGAATGAGTGCTATGCATTTTCTCCCATTTCCCCATTCTCCCAAATTTTCCATTTGCTTTCTATTGGCGCRCTGAACTTCATTTGAGTTGTATGTTTATCTCTCCTCCCTCATCCATAGTAAGATAATTTGAAAATCTCTGACACAGTGAAGAAGTTGATTATCTAAATAAATAAACAAACAACTCCTGGTTCCCGCCACACACACAGTATTGAAATGTAGGGTCCGCGCTAAAATTTTCTGTGGTTTTTTTTTGCTATATGCTCACTATATAGAAAAAAAAAAGGGAATGCTGAAGTTCAGGACTTAGGGATACAATTCTTACATACAAAAGCAAGTACCACTATCATTTTCTTGCTGTTTAGCCAACAAAAACTTTCTTCTACCACTGCTACTTACTAAAGAGAAAATCATTGTGGCAAATACAAGGGACATCCTCTCTTGCTGCAAGACTGTTATAAAAGCAGGAAAGTTTGCTGAGGAAGGTTAAAAGAAGCTGAAAGTCTTTAACACTGACAGTGATGTCACCAGCAGACAGCTAAATATCGCAATTATCTTTATGAAGACTAACATAAATAAATGGCATGGAAAAGGATACACTGCTTGACTGTCTATCACCGCCTTTTAATGAACATCAACCAAGCTACTATAAAGTAAATGACCTTCATTTTTTCCCTAACCAATCTTTATGGTCTGTTTGAGCAGTAATTAAAGAGGTTTTTTGCCTTATCAGGTTGTGTTTTGTCCTCTTTTCCAAGCTTTACGATCTTCCTTCCAGGTCTAATATCCATAAACTCCAACCAAGCTTAACACGATCAGAGCATCCCTTAATGCAGGTACAGATTGTCATTTAAGCACCTAAAATAAGGGAGATTTTTTCTTTTTGTTGGTCTGTGCTTCCACAAAGACTTCCTGGGATTGTAGCTATGARCTGTTGGCTTTAATCTTGACCTAATCTCAGCCAAATCTTCAGCTTCTCTTTTTAAAGGTTAAGGAGATTAATCTCTGAGTTTCCTAAAATCTTTAACATTTTCTAGCTAAGGAAAATATGCCCCAATGTGGCCACTTCTGAGGGCAATCAGAAGGTGAATAATTCTCTGTTCCTAAAAACTTGGGCTTGYTTTTTCCCTCATCAAACATCATGAATTATGACCACAAGAGAATCAGATGTAGCATAAGCATTAAAACGTCTCAAATTGTCCAAAGGGACAATATGAGCCCCTCTGCCTCATTAGTACAGGACACAGGTTGCACAGGGGCTTTCTAGAAAAGCAAGTGTTGACTCTCACAGCTACATAGCAAGTGCATTTCTAGAAGCAGACTTGGGTTTAAAAAATCATGTCAATCTGAGCAATTTAAAAGCAAGTTTTAAGGATTTACTTAATTTAAGAAGTTCCAAATGAATGTCTAATGTGAACGCTGTTCTGAGGTAAATCCACACAAGGTAAATTTAGGAAAGTACTGTACTACTGTATTTTCCTAAAATACAGGAAAGAAAGGAAAGAAATATTTTTCCTGTAAAGGAAAATGTAAAGGATTTTAAAACAAGCATCAGAAGATTCCTGCACCAAAAATAAAAAGTTTTATTAATAATAATTAATAAAAAGTAATAAAAATATTACTTGTTATTAATATTGACAATGTTTTTTGACTTTGGCAACCAAAAATATTCTTTACTTTCCAGTAAAGGAAAAATATTTAATACTAAAAAAAAAAATCAAATAAGCAATATGGGGCAGAGCTCCATAACTCATGACTTCCAAAATTCAATGAAGTGTTTTTATATTTTCATTTAGATAACACTTCATCTTTCTAATTGTATTACAGAAGAGTCACATAGGCTACATTTCACCTTAGTTATGCAAGGACATCTACAAAATATGTAGATGTTGTTTCCAGTTCCATCTGTCTGATTCAAATAAAAAGCAGTGATTGCAGCACAACTGCAGAGCTGGGCCTCCTGCACCCTGCTGCGTAGGGCATTCACTCAAAGCACAGCTGCTTTTCTAGGGACACTGCTAATCAAAAAGATGGCTGTAGGAGCAGCATCCATAACAGCAAATTTTAGATGCAAATATTGGATGTATGTTCAAACARCATCTTTAGCATCTAACTTTTAGGAAACAACATGAACCGGATAATTTGAATAAAATGTCTATAGATGAAACACRTGAAATTCTGTTGTAGAGCACTACATATTTGGCTAAATACACAGCAGAATATGACATTGTTTTCTGCTCCATATCTCAAAGATTTGCTGACTAACATTAAGGAGGGCGCAGTTGAACTTGCGTGAAAAAGTTGAATAGAACTGCTTGGATACCTGGTCTGAAAGATATAATTGCATATCACATCCTCTTTAACGCATCTGTGAAAGTTAAACATATTTTACACTCCAAAGACAGTATACAGTATGTCTTTCCAATACTCCAGTTCTAAATACAGCACATTAAAAAAAATACAGGACATGTGCTTAAAATATTTTTCCCACTATCACAGAAAATTCACATACATGTGTAAGAACACAACTGTCATAAACTTTCAATATGGATTTCTTCATGTATCAATCTTAATATATCAAAACTTAAATATATCAAAACTTTAAGAAAGAAAAAAAAAAAGGGCATTTTTTCCCACCATATAAACACACATGAAAACAAATAAGTGCACACGCGCGCACACACACACTCAGAGTTTCAGATTCTTTTACCCTTCCTCACCAAACTATCCTACTCTTCCTGGTTAYACAGATAGGAACTAACACTTCTTTAAGTGTTAGTCAGAAATTTTTAAATGGGATTTGTCTAAGAAAGAAGGGAAATAGTACTTTGTCTATTGATAGAAGTTAACACAGTGTCTTACCTGGACGCAACGTATTTTTCATACATCTCTTCTCGAGCTTTTTTGGCATCCTCTAGCTGAATCTGAAGCCTTTCAAGACGATCTTCTTCATGGGCACAACGAACACTAAGCTCCATGTTCTGGCGATTAAGATAATCTTTATCTTTTTGCAACAAGTTAAGAGACTGTTGCAAGGTTGCCAGCTAGAAAAGAGGTTAAAAGAAAAATTCAACAAGAATTTCAAAACAAGCATTTAAACCATCACTCACATGTTTGCTTTCTCATTCTAACTCTCTTCTCTCATTTGAACAAAAAAAAGAAAACCCTCAGTTTACACTTACATTTATCATGTTTAAACACTTCATAAACTGTTTTTTATGGTATAATTTTCTAGATTTTCATGTTTTCTGATAATTAGGAATTGAAAAGAGGTAGGGACCCCCTTAATGTCAAAATAGGAACTAGGCTCAAAACAGTACTGAATCAGAAAGGAAACATAAGAAGTCTTGGGGTCAAACAGCCATCACACTGGGGACAACTTTCTTACAAATACTGGAAAGTGAGAGAGCACCAAAAGCCATTACTGCTAATGGCCAAACTGCCAGCTCTGGGGTTCAGATATCGTGACAGACAAGGTGACCAATTAAAAATAAATAAATCAACAAAAAAAAAAAAGCAACACAGATAATTCAACTGGAGGGACTGTCAGAACCAATAATATCCTGAGGACCCTTCAGCCTGAATTTTTCCACGATTTTTCAGGTGATCCCAAAAGATTTGATTAAGATAACATTCAAATAATTCTATTTTTGACCTGAATTTTGACCTTATTACTGAAATAAGAACTTCAAGTTTACCTCTTTTGATAAGTCATTTCTTTCTTTAGATTGTGCTTTGTGAGACAACTCCAATACTTCATATTTTCTTCTGAGTTCTGACAACTCATGTTCAAATATATCTCGTTCACTGTTAAAATGAAGTGAAGCTATTAGTTATATAGAGTGAAAAAAAAGTAATTTAGTAAGCCTTCTTTCAGTTCATGACATTGCTTTTTTGTCCAGTTACTCACGAGGCAAATAGTGATAATAACTTTTTCAGTTCTTATCACTTGCAACAGCATCTTATTATGTGAGAATATTCTCTTTATTTTGAAGTATCTAAGCAATAATCCTAAATTATAACACAATAATCCTAAATTCGTATCCAAAAATTACTGCATTCTATTCTTAGCATTCTTTAGTTCAATTTTGGGCTGCATATTTCTCCTCTTCACACAAGAAGGTAAATTCCTTTRCACATCCTTAGAAATCTGTTGAGCTTTAGATGCTCTCCCCGGCATTTTCTTGAATCTTTTGAAGACCTTAAAGTTGGATGAAAAACTGATGTGACTTCATTCCCATTACCGTAATGAAACAGAAACCAAAAGGCAGTTGTTTTCAAGTGGTTCTCTCCTTTATATACACCCTCTTGATGCCACAGGAAATTATACTATTCTTCTCATATTTAAAACATACACAACAACTGCAAAAATGATGCTGGTGTCCTTAATAACAGTGTTTCCACAAGCACAAAGCAACAGCTCTGTCTGTATCTGACCTTGTCAGAAGACTAGAATGAACGATCCAGTAGGAGCTTACAGTCTGAAAGAAATCTAACTCGTTTTAAGTATTAAAAARGGGGATGTTTCGTAGTCTGCCAAAACTACAGGATTGGACATAGCTTGTAAAGTATTCTTAAACGTATTTTAGTMATTTTTAGTCACAAACCTGGAAGTGATTAATTCTTGCAGTGCTCCCAAATATTCCCATATAGGCATGCCAATAGTGTTCTTACCCTCCCCTTCATCTGTGCCTACTCTGATGAATGCAACCTACTCTTTTAAATACAGTTTTGGCACATTTATTCAGGCCTTTTTCAACTCAAGATTATTTTAAAACACACAGTTAAACACTGGGGCCATTCACACGAAACAGTTACTACAATCCAGTTCTTAGATGGAGTTACACATGGGAAGCAAATCATAGCATCCATCCATCCATCCTATTTGCATCCAGCTTCCAGTTAAGATTTCAAGATTGTTTTAGTACATACGGCTGTGAGCAGTTATCCAAAAGACAGACTCTCCTTTAAATGACTTAGAGGCACAGTAAAGATCAATAAATGTGCCTGATCTCATTCAATATGAACAGTTAGGRAGTTAACAAGCTGCTTTTTATTCAGAATCCTCATTCTGAGCCATTCCTGAACAGATCTGCCAAAGCTCTGATTTCCTCAGCTCACAAGCACATGGCAAAGACCATCTGGGAGCTGGACTGCAAAGTGTGTGTGCAGGAACCTATGGAGAAGAAGCCCATTTTCACTGTTTTGCAGTTACTGTTTATGAGGTCAGCACTCAAAGCATAAGTAACAGCTCTAAAACTTATATGTCAAAAATGGAGACATGCGGGAAATTCTGGCAATTAAATCAAGCCACTGAAGTTAACCCAAGATTCTCTGACAAAAGGTTCTCATAACAGCCCTTTCAGTCTAATGCTTACAAAGGTAATTTGTTTAATATTAATTACCAAGCTCCTTCCCTTTTATATCACCGTGCAGGCAAAACGTAGCAGATAACAGGGCTGCTTCTTAGATGATAGTTATTAAACTCRCAAAAATAAATTAATAATAATGTTTGTTCCAAGATGTTTGGCATCAGTAGCTCMTATTTAAGTTGCAACCAAACGAGTACTTCTAATGACATGGTAAGTACATAAATACAAGCTTTTAGGAATATAAATGCATGCATTAGATTTCAATGTTGCCCATCTCACGACTAGGGTATTCCACTTAACTGAATATCAACTTTGGATATCTGTACTATTTGTGGATCTAGGAAAGAAAAACACAAAAATCACAAAACGATGCTTCAACCTTGACTGAATGAACGACAAACTACTACTGTTAATACTTACATATACACTGAACTAGAGAGATACCTACCATTTCACTTTATCATAGTTCTCTTGTCTGTAATCACCCTGCTGGATCATGCGCTTTGTATCAGCCAGTTCCAGCGCCAAGCGCTGACATCGAACCTCCGCGTCTGAGCGAATCCTCCTCTCCTCTTCATAGCTCTGCAAGTTAACACATGCTTTAGATTGACAACAGCTACGTCGATATTTAACATACCCCTCAAAAGCAGKCACAAGCTTCGTATTGTGAAGTCTACTTGCAACTATTTAGGCRGTGATATTTTCATTTCTCTCTGTTTTTAGAAATCTAGCAGGCATCAGTAAGCTAAACTAATATATCTTCAACCCCACCTGGTTATGTCACACAGACAGCTTCTGCATTCACCTCTGGTGAAAAATTTTCCTCCCTGCCCAAACGCTCCCTTAAGACATGACCACGGAACCAGTCACTTGCAACAGACTTATTTTGCAGCAAGCAAGCAATGGTATAGGCACATAATATTTCAAAATACATGGGAAGGTATATTTATACAGGTGTCTTAAGTGATTCCTAAACATGATTTCTAGAGTATTGTCCTGGTATTTACCCCTCTTACAACAGGGATGGAAAAACAGAATGAACACTGACCAATATTCACAGGCACCATGAGCAGACAGCGTGACAAAACGCCTTCTCAAATAAAAAAGCACCAAAATGCTTTTAAGATRTGACAGTGAAGCTCAGTCAAATACAAATAATGTTGTAACTATTTCTGGGACAGACAGAAAATTAGATTTCAGAAGTACAAATGCAATAAAATCATGATAAAACACACAAAGTGTTTGTGAGGAGTTTGGATGGCAAATCTCTAAGAACTATAATATAGTTCTTTATAGATATATATTATTATATTATATATTATAATATTTAGATTATAATATAATCTAAATAAATGGTTTATATTGAACCAAATACACTGGTATATAGTTTATTTGCATTTGTTTACCCTAATTAATGATATATAACAAACAAGTTAAGACTACAGGAAACTGTTTCTCCTTATCATACCCTAAAGTCATTAACAACCTTGCACTTTTAAAGATGGCATTGCCCCATTGATAAAGCTTTTGTCAAATGTTTTAAGATACTAGAATTTAAAACATGAAATACAAAGGTGCAAGAATCCACATACACTGTTAGGCAGCAAAAAAAACCTCATTTTTCAATTAAGTATGTTGGTAAAGATACTTAAAGACAAGTTAAATTCTCATATAATTCCTCTGTGATATCCCGTGCCATTCTGCTGTGTCAGCAGCTACTGTGGCTGCTGACATTCTATTCATCTCCTATTAGGATGGACTTTTCCTTTGCAGAAAGGCTGACTTATTGAAGTTCTTCCAATAATTSCCACAGAAGCACCCAGCAGACAGCTACTTATATAAAATGGAAAAAATGGAAAAATGGAAATTGATGAAGTATGGATGCATCTCCCAGCAGATCTCTGGACAAATCTGACAAAAAGAGCTTAAGAGGGCCAGTTATCACAACATTTAAATATCTGAAAGATTTGTCCTTTCTAACAGGTGAGACTTGAAATGGAATTTAAATTATATCCAGTAAATCACTTAGGAATTTCCTGTAATGATATGATAATTCCACAGGACAAGGAGGGAGTTAAATTCCACTTTTAAAAAGCAGTACTAAGACTTACTTCAAGTATCAAGTTGTTAAGCATCTAATTAAACAAAATACGTTTAGATTCAGTATACTTGCTGAATATTAAGTATGCTCCATCCATCACCCGTTTCCAATTGCCTTTTTTTTGTAAACAACGACATTTTTATCACAGGACAAACATAATAAGACCTCTTACTAAACATTCAGTTTACAGGCTAACACAAGAAATCATATGAAATRTATATTTCCAGATAGCATATACTGCTATAGAAATACAGAATTCTGTGCAAGACTTCAATATATGCAACCAAGCTGTCAGTAGGAACTGTTATTTAGACAACACTGAAGTTAGTTTAGCTTCTATCAGTCACACTCTGATTATACACTCTTAACTGATTTTAATATCTCTCTCCTGGAACAGTTTTACCCCCATTTATCTTCAAGAGAGCTTGAAATTTTGATGAATAGCTTTGTCCTACTGAAGTGGTATGGGAATTTTAAAAAGGATCAAAATATGGAATGTATTCCAGAACATGAATGAGGTCATGGAAAATATAACAATACATAAAAATAACTTAACTCCACAAATTAAAAAAAAAAAAAAAATGAGAAGGACATACAGTACTCATTCATAATGAACATGATTCATGATAATCTTGCCAGCAATGCTTGGACTGTCTTCAGTTCCTTACTAACCTGCACTGCTACAGTGTCAACTCAGACACAGGAGACTGAACCTGTCCTTTAAGATGGGTGGACAAATGTTGTTTTAAATTGTTAACCCTTTTTAAGTAAATTAGGTAAACTGAATAAATTAAGTAAATTGTGCTGTTGGGTGTCCAATGCACCCAACAGCACCCAGCAAAATGGGTTCCTGCAGGCCCCTTGCAAGAAAGGCTTCCATTTGATTTTCCAGCATTGTTACTAAGCGTGTGATTCAAGTGATGATTCAAGTGAGGAGATTCCAAATTTGCCTGTTCTGCAACATTTAAATCCCAAATTGGGTAAAGAAACTATTCCAATTTCAGACCTTTTTTTTTTTGGGGGGGGGGGGGGGGGCGGTATGAGGCTTCACTATTACCCTCCTTCTTGAATAGATAGCTGGTTATAGCAGTCACTGAAAGAAACACGGACAAAATCTGCATGGAAAACCTGGCTGACACTGACTTCCTGAGCAAGGCCGGTGAGCCAGGACCTGATACCTGACAGGGATTAGCTGATMTCGCAATAAATCCTCATGGATAAGATAAACAACATAAATAAACAGATTTGGCATCCAATGAAGCCAAAGTAGCCAACTTCTTTATATTGTATAAAGATAAGCCCATGAAACAAACAATCCTGCTTTTGAGAAACTTTTAAAACAATTTTATCATTCAAGGATAACATACCTGCTTGTATTCTATGGTACCTTAAAGCCTGGAAAACTCCTATATAAAAGTACTGTAGTGCTATAGTGTTGCAAACAATTCTGCTCCTTACTAAAGGCAGTATTTGGCCTCTATCAATTTATACAGCATGTATCCAATAAAAAAAAATATTTGCCAACATATTTTTTCCTTTTTTTTTTTAAAAAAAAAAAAAAAAAGAATACAACTGCCCAAATGTCAAGTTACATATAACTGGATGAACAAGTTCTAGTATGCTGATATGCATTTTATAACCTGCCAAGGATTATAGCTAGGACACCATCTGCCACTAAAAATGGTAAATAAACGTGCTGAGTTACTTTGTGAGAACAAGACAGGGATTTTTTTTTTAACCCTTCAAAATGAGAAAGCTCTGCAAGAAAGTAAACAGAGAAAATCTTAAGTCTAAGTAATTCATCTACAAAGCAGGAAAAAATAAAACTCTTATCTCTGGATCTGAACAGGTCTAGGCTTCAGGGAAAAGTGCTCCATGGAAAGGGATCCTGGAGAAAGCCTGCCATTAAACACAGATTTAAGCCACTTGACCTATGTGAACAAGAAGCAGCAGTCTACACAGGCCAAAACTCTATACCAAGAAACACAGGAGGCTCTCAGAGAACATTAGAATATTCCTAAGTTTCCTTGACTCTTGAAGATGTCAGACTTCTGCCCAGAGTCAATTGTGGCTGGTAGCCTGTTCAGAAAAAGTTGCCAAGAYGAATGATACGACGGAAAGCAGGCACGTAGCTCCCCTAAGCCTGACGCCTCCGATGTACCCTCCAGGTTCAAAGGCCAAGTAATTAAAATATTGCTTAAAAGAATTTTGGAGGGTTTTGGAGACTGGGAAGAGGTTCTGGAGTACAAGGATAGATTACAGATGCTACTTTCTAAAGAAATCCTAAGGAGGACAGTGTTTCTATAATGGTAATAGTTGTACTAGTTTTCCAACAGTTGGATGCATCTAATGCCCACAGGCTCTTCAGACGAAGAGCTTAGTTCTTTCCTTGAAAACTATGCAAGTGTTTCTCCCTCAGATGGGAATCTTTATCCCAGAAAATAATTGGACTTAGCTCGCAAGACCTAGCAGTTTCTAATCCTGATGCATAGGCTAGGCCTTAGAAGTAATACTCTGCTTTAAGTTCACCATAGCTTCAAGAAAACTGCAATACTACAGATTAGATTGGAAGTCTGATGGTAACCATACGGAACATGTTATAACTAAAGAAGCTCTAAACAAGGATAAACTTTATCAAAATTGAATTTTAGAAAAAAATATTGGCAGGCAATTCACAAAGAGAATAAATTAGTACTTCATCTTGAACCATGCCTCCTACACAGGAATGCAGAGCTGCCTCCTCAGACTCTCAATCTTGACAGAGAGGGACAAAAAATACTAAGCTGTATCTCACTGAGGGAAAGTCTAACCACTTTTGACCAAAGTGACTCTGAAAATAGCATGCAGATGTTCTGTAAGGCATCTCTAAAGAGGGTGGTGCTAATGTTATTTGTACTTGAAGGACTAAGAGCTGCTTGAAGGACTAAGGGCTGTTCCAGGAGGACTGGAACAAGTCTGCACTATACGTCTGGTTATATATCAGCCAGTATTGAACATGACTTTCACCAGTGTTTTCACCCCCACCCCTCTCAGTCTGGGAGACTGCTGCTAATTACATTAGCAGCAGAGGAACTGCCTTCGTTTACATGATAGATACAATGCTGGAATAGAGAGCCATCCCCACAGCAGTGGGATGGTAGGAAAACACTGCTCACTAAAAACAGAAGTGGAGACAAAGATACTGCTCTGCCAGTTCATCAGAGGGTGCTCTGCAGAGGGCGTGAGGAAGGAGGGCAGCCTTCACACTCTGTTCTTTGCTACTGCTTGTCAGAAGCAGCTCCTCAGGAGCCTGTGTTACAGACCCAGCAGGCTTTGATTAAGTGCTAACTCAGCAACAGCAGGGAAGCAACAGGAGATCTCTGCTGCAAAGTTTGAGAGACCTCACATTCAGCATATGACAAATTAAATGATTGCTAGCTGATATTTTTATATAGTGTATATATATAACTGATAATTTTATATAGGGCACAAATGCACATGACAACACTGGAAAGATGTCTTTTATATGCTGAAGCCAGAAATAAAAAGATTTTCTTAGGTAAATGAATTAATGAATTGCCTAAAGAACAGGAGGATTTAACAAGTCTTAGAGAGACAGTTCTTAAACAGAGCTACAGTGTCACTTCATAAACTGACCTTCCCAGTGGGGGCAGCAGGATTTGCCTGTGTGGCTGCTATAGAAACACTGCTCTTTCCCTGTTCTGAAGGAAAGAAATTGGAAGCAGGTTGCAAAAGATCCAGCATGTTTGCAGAGGTGATGTAACTGATMCTTAGCCATAGCAGGTCATCATACTTTCCACAGAACAGAATTGCATTGCTTTGCTTCCCCACRTGTAAACAGAGGATCATAAGAGATTCATGGCTTCAAGCAACAACAGACTATGATAGGAATAAAATGAGTGTCTTGTATTCACACTCCAATACCAAAGGCTGCAAGAACAGTAAAATTAGACCTCATTTTCTCTCACTAAAGTAAAGAACTGCAGCCATTCTGTCACAAAACTACACAACTAATGGTAAGCCATGGTTACTTTATTTAATAAATTCATTCTATTTTTTCCCTGAAGTTGGCTTAACAYATTACAGAACTCAAGATTTTGCTTCAGACATTCTCAGCTTAGCTGGACAGAGAGTCAAGACCTTCCTCAGACCTACTAGGTAGGTCTCATATTTGTCATGATTTTATTGCTGATGTGAGTATCTACATTATCCAGACCTAGTCTGTTAGAAAACCCAGCCAACCCAGAAAGCCATTAAACCCCTCAGCTCCTCCAAAACAGTAGTAGCTAATAGAAGGATTTAGAATATGCATGCATTTTAATTGTTTCATGTTCCTATAAAGAGRGAAAAAAGTTGAAAATAATTAGAAGAATAAATCATTTGCAATATTTTAAAAAAGCCTCAACACTAGAGCATATTTTACTRATAAGTCAGATTGTGAACAGAAATACTAACTATGGGGGAAAAGTTAAATTTTCCAGGATATTGGATGGGGAACCCATGGAAGGATTCAAAGAGCATGATATTGATTTAACCACAGGCAAATAAGAGACATCAGCAATTATGTTCCATAGAAATGAAAGTAAAGAATGTTTAAAATGTCACAAAAAAACAGTAGAAAGATATTAGAGCTCAAATAAGACTATGAATGAAATTGAGTTTTACTTCACATTGGTTATTTTCCTCAAAGGAAAGTTTGGGCTAACSAAAGTAGTTCAAATTAATTAATTTCACCAACAGCACAATTTAAATCATGTTCCCCTAAGCTGCAAAAGATGCTTGTTTATAATAGCATTAGTATGTTAAAGTTGCTAAGGGACTCATTGATGATGTTCCTTTTACTTTATTATCAGAAACAATTTGTGGTGGCTTGCAACACTAATCTCATTATGACATTAGGTCACATGTAAAATCGCCAGAAAAAAAAAACACAGATGCAAAAGTCTGCCCTTACACAAAATAAGGCATATCAAGTCACATCTCATTCAGCAACCAAAACATGACCTCTCCACACAACAACAGGAGAAGMTTCTGCTAGGTTTAAACAGAAAGTGCACATGAAAGCGTCACACTAAGTGATATTATCTAAAAATTGAGAATTCTAAAGATTCATCTTCATTGCTAACTAAGTTTTTCCTTGTGACATTTTTACACTTGGATTTGTTTTTTCGTTTGTTTGTTTTTAGGAGCGTGATATTCATTCTTACTAGTCCCTCAATTTAAGCAAACTATGCAAATGGAATAACAACCACAACTGCTCGAGATGGGCAACGTTCTGCTGTTTCGTCATATCAACATCAACTGCAGTGTGAAATCCATAGGGCTTTTAAGAATAATTCAGCTGGAAAGGTCAATACTGCCGCCATGTGTTAAGAAGAAACAGCACTACTGAAATTCAAATAGGAAAGGAACATCAATGTACCAAAAAAAAAAAAAAAAAAAAATGTTAATCCTGTGATGGAATCTGTTACCTCCTCTCCAGCTAAAATGCTGCAGCAAAAATTAACACTGAGGTGGTCACCCCAATCTTAAAATTCTATAGGAGGACTTGTAGGCTTTTAAGTCAGAGCACCGGTATGTAGATATACAATGAAGGAAAATACTTAGATAAATCAAATTTAGCATCATTAAGCTAAGCTTAATTTTGATTAAAGATGAAAACAGAGAATACTGAGGAATATTAAGGCATGTTATTTTATTGACAACTACTATTTGCTGAATTTAATCCAAAAAATGCAAATACTAAGAATTTCACAAGATAACTCTGTAAAAATAAACCACTTTTTATAGCTGATTATTCCATAAATAAATTTTAAAGAAAAAAAAAATGTAGCAACTTAATAATTACAGAAACAGCAAAACGACAGTGGCTTTTAAGCCTTTGTCAACTATTCTTTTTTTTAAGGTAAGAGTTTCAACTACTCCCAATGAATCACAGACTGAATCATACAGTGAATAAGGTTGGAAGGGACCTCTAGAGATCATCTAGTTCAACCTCCCTGCACAAACAGGGTCACCTAGAGCACAGGGCACCTGATCACGTCCAGACAGGTTTTTAAGATCTCCAGAAAAGGAGACTCTACAGCCTCTCTGGGCAGCCTGTTCCAGGGCTCTGTCACCCTCACAGGAAAGTTTGCCCTCAATTTCAGGTGGAACTTCCTGGGCTTCAGTTTGTGGCCACTGCCTCTTGTCTTATCGCTGGCCACCACGGAAAGAGCCTGTCCCCATTCTCTTGGCACCCTCCATTAAGGTATTTATACACATTGATAAGGTCCTCCCTCAGCCTTCTCTTCTTTAGGCTAAACAAGTCCAGCTCTCTCAGCCTCTTATAAGACAGATGCTCAAGTCCTCTGATCATCTTTGTAGCTCCACATTGSACTCTATCCAAACTTCCACGTCCCTCTTGCACTGGACGGTCAAGATGTATTTATTCCAATTCCGGATTTAGGCAAAACTGACCTAAATAGCTAATCAACATCCTGTATTTTATAAGTGAGTTAGAGTAGAATAAATATCGGTAAATATAAACAAAATTCTCAGTATAGTATCTCTTTCAACTTCCTTCCTCTTGGAAAACAAAACTTAAATACATTTAGATAAAATCTTTAATAAGAAAATTAWAATCTAAGATTTTAAAAAGCATTTATATATTGTTAAAATAAAAGGTTTTAACAATACCAAATTACCACCAACACACCAGTATCTTCAGCTATTCATACAGATCTCCTGCTTCATCTTCTCTGCCTTGAAGTTTGCCCTCAAAAAATAAGACATGGCCAGTATGAGTCTACCTTAAAACAGCAGCAATGCCATGAGCAAATCATGATAGGCAGCACATATTGTATATTAGCCTCCCCCATAAACCAAAAGAACTTCCAGTTTTTCTGTTCAAAAAAAAAAGATCTATATCCAGTAGTGATCTGGAGTATAAATTTCTGCTGAAGAAACGTATATTTATTTTAGCTCAGAGAAATAAAGCACACAAACCTCTGTCAGACACTTAAGCTGGGACTTGTATCCATTTAGCTCTTCTGTTAGGCTTTCCTTTTTTACCTGTAGATCATGTAGTTCTTTCCTTAGTGAATGTACTACTTCGTAGAATCGAATCTAAAAGAACAAAATATATATTTAAAAAGTAAGACTAACAAAGTCCGCTATTACAATCCCCAGCAAGTCAAGTGTATTTTATGGCATTAATTTACAAACAATCTTCAGTTTGTAATTCAGCTTATTAACCATCTTTTTTTAGATTGTTTAAAGACAGTAGCTTTCTCCAGCCTTTGACAAAATGTCTAACAAATTCTAATCTTTGCCTAGCAACTAATGAAAATGAAAAATAAAGGGTAAAGATGTACCTATCTTTAGCTACAGCAGCTTCCRCATAGGTTGCCTCAATTAAAAAAATAATACAACTGGCATAAGCATCCATATTGTCCCTTCCTTTTCGTTGCTTTAACTCTAGAGCCTATTTGATTAGCAGTGAAACATCTTGCTAACACACCTACAACCAAAAGGCATTTTGGTTGCCAAAAGGCAAACGTATGAGCAAGAGAGAGAGAGAGAGATCAGTTTTGTTTTTGTCAGCTCAGTACAACTGCTCCCTTTTAATCCAGAGAAATGACAAAGCAAGCAGAGGAAACAGATAACACAGGCAGGAGGAAGTGAAACACCTTTCCCCCCTTCACCCTTCCAATCCAACAGGTTGTTACCAGGGCWCAGCTGCATCACGTAACGAAGCCAGCAACATGTTCGGCTGCTGCGAACCGCACTCCAAGGCGCCCAACTTGAGACCAGGGGTCTCAGCTTCTCTGGGACCGTGGCAGGATTGGTAGGAACACCCTACCAGTCCATACGTGGGATTACCTTACCTAAATCTAGCCCAACAGGCCCTCAAAGGCCTGCTTTAAGCCCAACCAGGTGTATAAACCAGCTCACTGATACATAAAGCTAGGTGTAATGCCAAGAGAGAGGCAAAGCCCTCCAGCTGAAAGTGGGGGGGAGGGGGGAGGAGGATCTGCAACAAGCTAAACTCTAGCAGTGTGAATTTAAGCTCATGCTACCTCTAAAGCAGCACTTGAGACCATGGAATCAATCCTGTCCCAGAAAAGAGATGGCCCCTACATTTCCATTACTTTTTGAGGGCTCTTCTGTAATACATTTTGCAAGCAAAAATCCCCCCCGCTATATAGATATTGCCATATATAATACTACTAAAATCACGCTCTTCTCCCACCCAAAATCATAGGTACTGTCCACACATCATATATCAAACTTTTCCAGAACATTTCTACTAAACAAGAGCAAATATTAGGAAATGCTGCAGTAAAAATAGAGTTAGCAGTAGAAGACAGAAGAGGGAAAAAAAAAAAAGAAAAAAAAGAATTGAGAAGAGAATTGAAAACTCTTTCAACATCTACACTCTTCTAGATTACTACTCCCTATTAGTTCGATAACTTGAAGTATTTATTTTGACAAGTGAGAAGAAAAGTTGGCAACTGGGTATCTAAAACAGAATATTCTTTTACTTTTATAAATTAGCTTTCAAAGAAAAAAGAATGCAAGCTTTACTAAAAAAAGAATAACTTGTAGATCAGTTAGATAATTTTATATTTTGATTAAGTTTAGTTATCTAAACTAAAATTGGATAATTAAGGATAGCTTTAAGACAGGAACAAGGAATACTCCACTCATTATGGAGTGTATCTATGTCTAAATTTATATATATAATGAATAAAAGGACATAAGTGATAGGTCTTTGAAGCTAAAATCCAGTAAGAACCAAGAAAAGAGCGAATAATTTCTTATACATGTTCTAAAAATAACAAATTAAAAATTTCACTCAGATAATATTGTTTAAAGATAGTATAATTTTTATGAGAAGAACTGTATATTCCTTCTATTACTAAAATGTTATTTTTAATAATACCTTTTTGTTTTTGTGAGCCACACATACCTTTTCCCTAAAGTTTTTGTATTTTTAATCTGATCCTAAGGACACCCAACTTACACCACAGGCGTCCAAAACTTAACTAGGTAACAGTGAGGATCCAGATATCAAGCATAAACTCATGYACAGCCTTCCCAGGGAAAACCTCAATCCATGGCAAGAAAGAAACTGTAAACTAATGTATAACTGAAGGGGAGGCTGTATCATAACTTCGACTCTCACCAGTTATTTGACTTTCTCCCTGGCCAATAGGCATTTGTGCAGCTCAGTAGGTGAAGCATGTGTTGCCACTAGCCAAGTCAATAATGAAAAAAAACTACTAAGGCAGCATTTAAGGGACAATTACATATCCTAGAAAAATAAGAATTTATATAGATATACTATAAGGAGAAAAAATCGTATTTAAAATATCTTAGCATGTATCCACCACATTTTGAGGAAAACTAGAGTGAAGTGGGAAGTGATAGGAGCAGAGAAAGAATTTTAATTGTTTTTATTATTATTATTATTTAAATGTTTAAAAACTTTGTTTTAGAGAAATATACTTAAGAGATCATTTTTCTTTTGTCATTATCATCCAAAATAACTGTTGCTCGGTCTTTGCTCTAACATGTCACCACAGCACCCCTTTGTGGAAGAAAAGCTGAAAAACATCCCACATTTGTTTTAATTTTAAACTTTCAATATTCACAAAACATATACAAATACATAAAATATATATTAAAATACTCCCTGCACTTAGTCTGGTATGCAGGCTCTCAAACAAAATATAAGCATTATATATTTCTATCTTGAAGCATAAAAGGCAGTATTTTAACAATAATAAATCTAGGGCGAGGAAAGAGTTTTCATCTTCCAGTCAGGCAGTTCCTTGCTCAAATATTCCCTAAACAAAAATCTTGTTTGTCAAAGAGAACTTTATTCCAGTATTAGCACTGCCTGGAAAATACTTACTCCTGAGGAAAGCAAAGCTGAAAATAGCATTAGAAAAAAAAAAAAAAAGTGGTCTTTTTACGAAGAGTCCTTTGCCTGCTGTTCAAAAGCCAAGTGGATTTATAGACAGGACAGGCAGAACAGCTTTGTAGCTCTCTAGTGTCCATATTCACACTGATGCTGTTGCCAGAAGAACCTGAGAGAACAGAGTCCACCCCTAGCTCTTCTTCTCATGGAAAAAAATATATATATAATTTGCCACAAAGTGGCTTCTTCAAAGGAAGAAACTGCCATTTGCCTCCTTGTTGGCATCACTGAACATACACATAGCAAAGCACCATGCGGTTCAGAGACAAAAGGAGCACTGACTGGTTGAATGCAAGGGCAAAAGAAAGCTAGATTATATATAGAAGCAGACTCCTCCTGCTTAACATGCTTTTCAAACTGTTTTCTACTCACATATCCAGTCTAAACGTTCTAACTGAACTGTAGCAGCGTCACTGGCACTTAGGGCAGCTGGCAAGGTTCCCTGCTCTCTGTCCTGCCTTGTTTTTCAGGCTTTTGAACTGCCCATCAATCAGCTCCTGAAGCACGAAAGCTTTTTCCCCACGCCATCTGCAACTTGCCATCATGGATTCCAGTTTGTGCCAAGTCCGCTCTGTCAATAGTGCTGGTGCAGGAATAAGTGATGAACAGCTCAAATACCTAAGCAGAGGGCAGGGGATAGAGTAGACAGCTACAGAGTAATAACCTAATAGGACTCAGTTGAGTCATTCCTGTTTTATCACACAGCACAGCCCTAAATGTTTCCAACCACTTTCAAGGTCCGAGTCTTGAAACTTTTTCAAAAGATGTTCCCAAGAATTTCTCTCTTTAGATAAGGATGATAAATTGCACTTTCCTGTGCGTATTAGGAGTACAGTATACCATGGCTTTCATCCAGCAGAAGGGAGCTCACACTTGTAACATTTACACCTCAACAAATGCACTAAGCCTTTGAATGTTATACTAATTACAACTCCCTTAATAGCTAACAGTATAGATAAAGACAGCACTAGCACTCTGTTGAACTGAAGCATCTTGAAGTGTCTAAATCCTTCTCTCTTTTTCTCAGAAGTGAGTCAGGATGTTCCAGGCATTCTTGTTACTGAAAGCTCACCCCTTCCTCACCAATCTTCCCATGAGTTGGAATTAACAAGATTCTAAAAATCAAGACAAAATAAAAATTAAGGTATCCTTTATTCCCTGTATGTAGCTGGAGTAGGAAARGGACGAATAAAAAACAATGAAAGAAAGGAGGGAATCTTTGCAAAATGTGTGGCTCTGTTAAGCCTTGWATTTTAAAATGCTATTTTCAGTTGACTGTATTTCACTTCATCAGTGTGTCACTGCCCACCATTTAACTGAAACATCCTATTTGTCTCATGATCTTTAAACACATCAACAACTGTTCTACTCTAAGACATCAGCTCCTGGAATTGGAAGGCTCTTCARTTTACTAGAATCAGCCACAAAAGAATGATTCACAGGAATATCTGCAAAAACATTCTTTACTTCCAGATGGGGAAGAACAAGAATTCTGTAAGTTTGGATTGACTTTTACAGATTTATCCCTTTGATTTTAAGAAAAAAAATCCACTTATGCTTTAAACTGACATAGAGACAATACTCACAGACACATATTCAGGAATAGAAAGTTGTTCTTCAGGAAGACACTTTAGCTTCTCGTAACAATCATCTGTTAATTCCAAGTCTCGCAAGCTCCGACGAATATCTCCTGCCCTCTCCCTTAACTGATGATTCATCTCCTCTAGCTGTTTTTGTCTCAATAGAATGGTTTCCATTTCTTGTTTCATTAGAGCCTGATGTTTTCTTTAAGATTGATTTAAAAATAGAAGACATGAATTAGTAATTAATACATGTGCCAAGTCCTCCCAACATCCTGGCAAGAGAGACATTTAGACAGGGACARTGTGTACAGGGGCAGATGAGCTCAGGAGTGTCACTATCAGGGTTACACAGTCTGCACAAGGTGTCCACAGTCTGCAAAGCTTCACAGTCAAACTGCTTTACTACAGCCCCAAGTCACTGACAATACCAAGCTGAGGCCAAGGAATGACAATTAATTCCCAGATGTATTGATGTTAATTTATAAATTAGTGTTTATTTATCCATTAAAAGATTCATTATCCATTAAAAGAATAACCAGATTCTTGCTGGTTAATATTCTTTCCATACAAATCCCTCTAAATTAGTTAATCACCAAATGAAGCAACATTAACCTCAATTTCTGTCTTGCTCCTTAAGTTTCAGCATACGCATTTTTACTGTCTAGTCCTCACACACCCCTTCATTCCCAACCTGTACTCTGTTTAACATACAAGGTTGAGATCCTTAAAAAAAAAAATCCTTTTTTTTTTGTCACATGCATTATTGTGACGGTATTACAGAGCAAGAGAAAATAGATGTTCACTTAGAGACATTTTACAGAGATTTTTAGCTTTTAGCAAGAGCGTTTAGCTTTAGCTCTTGAAAACATTCATTCAAATTTAGTTGTCTTTGCTTTTCTGAAGAACAGATAGGTATTTAAGAAGTAATATTCAAAAATATTAACTCTACTAGTACTCTAAGACAATGCCTGCCTTACTATTTAAAAAACAAAACAAAAAGAACCCTACAAGTCACCAAAGCAATCACACAAGGGCATTTTTGCACATAGTGTAAGATTCTGTTGAATAGGGATGGAAATCAAAGACAGGCAAGACAACTAACAAAAGCATTCGGAAAAGAAAACTGGTTCAACTTTCTTGTAACTATCAATTTTAGTAACAGGTAATCAGATAGTAGATTTTTACTGAACACTATCCAAATAATTCAAATATAGTCAAACATGAAATTTCACCCTGGTGAAACCCAGTATAAAGAATTAGAGACRTTTCTGACAGCCTGTTGCTCTTAGCTTAAAGATTCAAAGATCAAAATTGTTCTCAGCTCTGCCTTCAAAGCCTTGTAGCTATTCCAGGCTTAGTACAAAATATGATCTTGAATTAGTCACATCCTTTAAGTTCATGTGTCCTTTAGTGTAATTAGGCGCTATTGTGCTCTCCCTCCMCAATCCTTTTGTAGTGTTAAAACAATTAATGACATAAGGAAGACTGCTAATCAGACTATTTTCAGTTAAGATTCAGGGCAAAATATCTCAGAACATTAAGAAAAATAATCAGTTTCTACCTGAGCAACTGAAAGCTTTTCAGACCAATAAACAATCCTCAGTGGAAGTGCCTGCTACACATTTGCTGTTTACCTTTCCTCAAGTTATCTACTAGGCTGCAGGGCTATAAAAAGCTCAGTTTAAACTGAGATCTTCACCTGCTCTTTATGTTCTTTACTGCTTTTAAGAAAATTCTAACTCTAGGTTTCCAAAAAAAAAAAAAAAAAGGCAAAAAAAAACATCCCACAACTTACAAGCTTCAGCGAGTGCTGAATTCAAATTCAGCTCTAAGCCACAAGCTAGAAGTCTAGAATGGAAAAGCCAATATAATCCACAAAAGCAGTATTATTTCAGCAACTCATAATCATCACATTTTATAGTGTGATTTAACATGAATTCACGTCAATAGCATATTAAAAGGGACTGTTTTGTTTGCTTGTTTTGCTTCCCTCATACCTCGCATCTTCTTGCTGTAATGCCAGCTGGCTATCCAATCGTAAAGACAAGAGCTGCTTTTGATGGATTGCATCATTAAGCTTCTCCTCTAGCTCTTCAATCTAAGAAATATAAATAGAAATAAAAAAGTTATCAAGATAATATTGATTATTATAATCAATACTGATTAACAATTAATATTGAAAAAAGTCATTTTAAAAGAAAGAAAGAAAGAAAAAAAAAGTTCCATTCCCAGAGAAATACTGTAACATTATTGTTCAACAAGACCTTTAAATACACTAAGGCTTCATAAAACATAATACAGATTTTGCCCTACTGAACTCGTAATAATAATAAAAAATAACTCTACAATTAGATCTTTTTTCAGTGAAACAGCTATTACTAGTTCAACCAATTTTAAACAGGCCTTCAATTTAGAGTGACAAGCCAGCTTAAACCATTAAAAACAGGAGTTTTTAAGTGTGGTCTGCACAAAATTGTGGCAGTGCTTTTACATTATATCTTTTGTATTTTCACRTCTTAACAGAAACTGCATTGGACTGAAATTGCAGTCTCCCACTATTAGCATGACACTCTTTTCTAGTCATTTTTCCACTAAAAGAGCATTAAGGTGCATTCAGATGATTTTTCCAGAGTTCCTCAAGTTCAGGTTAACATCCCATTAAGTCTCACATATCAAGGCCAAAATCATTTAGCATTTTAGTAATAAATTGGGTCTTTTTCCTCTGTTTTAAGAAAATAAGAGACTAGAGCTCTATTCRGTCCCACTTCTTCCATTTATAACACCTTGGACAAGATCTCAAAGTTTGAATCTTTCTTTCCTCTGTTAGCTTTTTATTTAGAAATTAGAAATAACATGCTCAGCATTCCATTAAAATATTTTGAGAACTAAAGTTTKTAGAGGACTTTAAAAGCACCAAGAAAAGCAAGAAAAAGACTATGTCAAGAAGGACATGTAGCATTTCTTACCTTAGTCAAATGCTCTACTTTCAAGTTGTCAATCATCAAGTTTTTCTGAGATAATTCTATTTTAAGCAGCTGAAGATTATGAAGTAACTCCTTCCGTTCAATCAGCTGCTTGGTGATTTTAACAGCGCCTTCCCGCTCTTCCGAGGAGGAAACTTCATCAGTTGGTACCGTGGTCTCTAAGCTAATATCTTCAGACTCTAAGGAGCTGGAGATATTCACCTTCCTGATTTCTTTAGTGCTTTTATGTGACATTTTCCTTCACTGTTTGCAAAGGTGTTTTTTGTGTGTGTTTTATTTTCCCCTTTTGGTTGTTGTTATACTTTGAGATGAGGCTGTGAACACAGAACTGCAAAAATCAAAGCAATAAAGTGAAAAAACACTGCTTTTAATTAAAGCGTTATGAAAATTCTTAAATGATTAAAACAAGACCAACGATTAAGCAAAACCTATCAGCATTGTGTTAATCTTCCTGTATTAACCTRGGGGAAAAAAAATCAAGAAGCCTTACAAACAGTCCTTTTCCGAGGACTCTTACTTCTGGCACGACCAAAATAACTTCACTAACAAAGGCGTTGACTACAAAGGGCTGAACACTGTGGCAAAATAAGCTCACTAGCAAGATTTTATAGCCAAATTTAGATATACACCTGCTTTTCACCTTTCAGCAGAACGTGAGGGAACAGCCAACATGAGGTAAGGCAGCATTAGCTAAAAACAAAACAGAAAACCCCCAAGGCACACTTCGATGCCCACCTTTGCCTGTTTAGGCAAGGAGTTCAGTTACCCCTGCCAGGCTGATGCACAGGCACCTTCCAAAAGCTCTGCTGGTGAGATACCCAACGGCCGCCCGCGCTTTCACCATCACCTGGTCGAAGACACCGCTTTTATTCATTTATTTCCACAGATTTCATGGAGCAGCTCGTGCTTACAAGCCTGCGGAGCAAGGGACACTGCGGGGCAGCGGACACTGTACCCGGGGCGGCCCAGACAGCTCTGAGAGGTGTTGGAGGACCCGGGGCCGTCTCCCGGCTCCTYCCGCGCCGGCTCCGTCCCGTCGGGCCGCTGCATCCACCCCGGCCCAGGGCGCGCACGGAACGACCGTTAACGGCCCGCGGCTCCCGGTCAGCCGCCACCTCCCGCTACCAACGGCCGCTCCGCAACCTCCCGCCCCACTCACCTCCGCCCGCCGCGGCCGCCAGGGCGCATGCGCAACCCCCACCKCCCCGCGGTCGCCACGGCAACCGCCGCGCCTTTCCCGCGCTGGGGCGCGGGGCACGCCGGGAGCTGTAGTCCGGCTCGGCGGCGGTTGGCGCGGTGGGCGCCATGCTGACCTCGCGCACGTTCCTGAAGCGCACGCGGGCGGGCGCCGTGCTGAAGGTGGTGCGCGAGCACTACCTGCGCGACGACATCGCCTGCGGCGTCGCCGACTGCCCGCTCTGCGCCGCCGCCGCCGCCGCCG